CATGGGATCTACATATCATTGCCATATCTAACATTTACAGGCTTCCCATGTTTCTTATCAAAGACAATCTGAGCAGGAAAAAAGATGGAATAAATGTGCAGTGTAATAGGACCCCTTGGAAGCACCTTCAGATATACATTCTTTGTGGGATTTATATTCTTGTGTAGGATTGTGGCTGTTGGCTCTGATTTTATTTGTTTTTACTTTCCATGTGATTGATGTGACAAGTGCAACAGGAGATGAAGACTTTACGATGAAGGGGAAGTACATTAATCTATCTCCTTCTGGGTCTTAAAATGGTGTCTGATGCAAAATCCACCCATTACAGAAGAGTTTTGTCTCAATCATTAAACAATATGCACTTTTAAGGTGTTGCCGTGTACACTGTCCTGTTGACTGAAGGCAGAGTTTCAGTTGGGCTCCTTATCAGCAGTGGAGCAGAGTTACAAAGTACAACTACACAATGTTCTGTGTATTCCTTTGGAATTAAGATAATTCACTACAGATCTTTACTTAACAGCCGAGGCTGAAAAAGCAGTGAATGTAAACAGCATAGCTGCTTTATTGTTTTTTGTAAGTTTTCCCCAATAGCATTTCCACTGTGTTCTAAAGTAGCCTGTGTAAAGCCAAAAGAGTGCTTTGAAAAATTGGTGGCTATGTTATTGGTCTAATTCAGTGGTTCCCAATCTTATATGTCACAGCCCCCTTTTATAATGGCCAAGTAACCTCCCCCCCACGTTTGCATAAAAAGGCATTTTCCCTTGTCAGAAAGTAGATGCATCTTTCTCCACCAAAGGGATTGTTTCTCATACATACACATACATGTGAAATCTTGCTCTGAAAAGTGAAGGAAGAAATTATTTAACAAGAGCGACAACACATAGTTCAGTCATATGCACAGCTTTTTAGTTCAACGGGACTTACTCTCATTAAGGGTTGTTGCTGTAGGAACATCTTGTGTTTACAGTGAACACTGCAAATTTTGAGATTAAAAATTAGGGTGTGTGTGTGTATAAGGATATGCTTCTGGAAACAGCATGACTCTGGTCAGAGTGATGAGCCAGTCCTTGGGGTAGCAGAAGGAAAGAAGGCCTTTCTGAAATAAAAGATTGCAACTGAAGGTAGTGCTAACCTGGCTGTTCAGCATACATCTGTTGGCGAAGAGCTTACAACTCTGTGAAACTTTTGCAATTTGGGTCTGCAGGAATACCCTGTAAGGGCACTGCAAATACATGCATATTCAGACCAAAGAACTGTTATCTGATGTCTGTCACTTACAGCCAGTATCTGGAAAGAATTGTACTAGCTAAGGACAGTAAATATAGCAGATAGGCAGGGTTGCCAGCTAATGGGGGCAAATCTGTCCTAAATGTTGTCCCTTTAATCAGCAGGTTGAGCTCCATATTTTCTCAGTGTAAAGGATTCATTTCATCTGCTAATACCTATAGTTAAAGGGCTGCTGAATACACTGTGAGACAACAGAGATGAAAAGTTGGTAAGGCTTACACACAGAAAAACATATTTATGCAGAAAGGGAAAACACCAGTTTCAGTAGGGCTTGCTCCGAAACTAGCATGCTTAGGGCTCAGGACAAGGAAGGCCAAACTAGCATTGCAAATCTCTCTCCCCCAACACTCTGATATGCTGTGGTGAGCTAGCATTTTCTCAGCCCTTGCTCTGGCTGTGATTGGGCAGCCATTGGCTTCTCGTGGAATCTGATTGATTTCCAGGAAAGTAGGCTTTGATTGGAACCATAGTTTTAAGGGGAGAAGCAAGCAGCTGTTTAAGCTCTGCACATTAACTAGCAATGTGTAGCCTGCATAATTAAATTGTAAACCACCAAGAGGCTATGTTAAGCGCTGTAGGGTGGTATATAAGCAGTACACTTGGCTTTCTTTGCAGCACCATGGATCTATGTGCCTGTCAACAACTTCAGCCATTCCATCTGGAACAGCATGGCAGGCAAGACTTGGAATAAATGGGAAGAACCAGGATAAGGACCCCATTGAGGTGACTTTCTCAGAGTATACATGCAGGCCTTCTCTCTCTCTCTGGGATTTGTATGTATTTCACTTTGGGGGTATTTTTCAGAACTGTAAGTGCTATCAGACTCTTGGTGTTAAATGCCAGGCTGTGCATTGTATTTATAGTTAGAGCTGAATGTATTCTGTGATCTTATAGTGTGAATTCAACACTTGAAAGAAGAACTTCAATTTGCTTTTCTTGTTTTAAAGCTGTTTTCCAGTCCTTATTTATTTATAATATTTTCATCCCACCTTTCTCCTTGAAAGATCCTTGGAACAGTAGGATGGGTTCTTCAAAGAGGGTGATAAAGTCTCAGGAGGGGACAGCATCCTGACTCAGGTGTAGCGGTCCTGTCCTTACGGACAAAAAACCCAGAATGAAGTATTCTTGAGAGAAGACTCTCGATCACCCCCCACTTTCTTTGTGTACAGGTCACTGTTCTGCCCTGGAAGAACATCTTCATCATATTTCATTGTTTATATTTAGAAGATATGTGTGAGTCCAAGATGTGGTCTTCTGCTCTTTTATTAATACTAAATATTATGTCTCTACCTACATCTCTTTCCATACAGAATCGGCCTGCATGCACACTATAATACAGGAAGATTCCTACACATTCTGTAGTTAAAACACGTTGTTGGTCATGGGTTGGGAAAGAATTGTTGATCTGTGGTGACAGTGGTGCACAGACCTCCTGTGATCAATGATTTTAGTGGGCTCGGGGGCAGGGATGTTGATGGGTTTTTGGTCCCAAGTCCCAAGCCTGAATTTTGGTTGTTGTTGTTCTTGTTGTCATTTAGTGGTTAAATCGTGTCCAACTCTTTGTGACCCCATGGACCAGAGCACACCAGGCCCTCCTGTCTTCCACTGCCTCCCAGAGTTGGGTCAAATTCATGTTGATAGCTTCAGTGACACTGTCCAACCATCTTGTCCTCTGTCGTCCTCTTCTCCTCTTGCCTTAACACTTTCCCAACATCAGTGTCTTTTCCAGGGAGTCTTCCCTTTTCATGAGATGGCCAAAGTATTGGAGCCTCAACTTCAGGATCTGTCCTTCCAGTGAGCACTCAGGGTTGATTTCCTTTAGAATGGATAGGTTTGTTTGCTGTGGTCCACAGAGTCAAAGGCTTTTGCATAGTCAATGAAGCAGAAGTAGATGTTTTTCTGGAACTCTCTGGCTTTCTCTATAATCCAGCGCCTGTTAGCAATTTGGTCTCTGCCCATTCAAAATCCGGCTTGTATTGTGGGTTTCTTGTATTGTCGGATTCTTGCCCAGAATAGTAGATATGATAATCATCTGAATTGAATCCGCCCATTCCCGTCCATTTTAGTTCACTGAAGCCCATAGCTTCTCTGAATTACTCAAGCCCTTTCGCCATGACAAGGCAGCAGTCCATGAAGGGGTTTGGTACCAAGTCCCAAGTCTTTGGCCCCAAATCATGACTTCCTGTTGAAAACAATATTTTACCCCCAGAGAAAAGGGAGGGTGAGTAAGTCAAGTCTGAGTCACTGAAAAAAACCTACAAGTCAAGTTAGTGGTGTGACTTAGGTCTGACTTGACAGCAAGTCCTGCAACTCAAATCCCCATGCATGGCCGGATGTGGAGTTGGGCGAGGACCACTCTAGGCGGCTAATCCCCATGCATGGCCAGGTGTGACTTTTACCATTACTACAGAGTGAAAGAAGAGACATGATCAACATCATTGTTTTAAGTAAGATCTAATGGTTGACGCGCTACAGACTGGGAGCTGTGGAAGACCAGGATGCTATGGTCACTCAGTGTTCATTATAGCTTTTAGAAATAGGAGAAGTAGAAAAGGAAAATATACAATTCATGTTATTTGCCAAATGCACCAGAACAGCTTGGAGAACACATTAAAGTTAAAACTGGATAAAACACCAGTCAAATTAGAATGTCTTTTAGCAATTTTGGAACTGTTCACTGGATAGAGACTTGATGTGACTAGATTGCTCGCTACAAACGTTATACACCCATCTTTAGTTTGGTGTGTGTATCTGTGTGTGTTATTCAGTTTACTGTGCCTACTAACCGCAACTCACTTCCTAATCAAAGTGGATCATAACCATTATCAGACCGTAGTAGTCAGAGTGTTTATGAACAGTCCAATAGTATTTTCCCAGCCCCAATTCAAATCTTTAGGAGAACAGGTTTCAGCTGGAAAAAAAGTCCTGTTCAGTAACGTATTCAGAATCTTGGGCCCCACTAGATATATATTAGGAATGAGAGGGAAGTAGCTGACTTAATTATTTAGATGCATATTGTAAACATAACATTAATATGGGACAACACACTAAAAGGAGTCAGGGCCTGTTCCTTTAAAATGGGTTTGAAATCCCCCACCCCTCCCCTTGAGCATTACATTCCCTCAGGATTTGCATGTAAGTGATAGGTGGGATTAGAACTAGTAAGTGGGTTGCAGTAAGCTCTTGTCTTCTCTGTCAATAATGTATCTGCCTTACACACACACACCATTCTGTCTCTTGATGTTTCTTTCCCCTCCTCCATCAGCAGGCTGCTGAAGTCTGATAAATTAGACTGAGGGTTGTAGATTTTGTACTCTTGCTTCAAAAGATACCGGGAAAGAGATTGGGGCAGATGCAGGATGTCACAGAAAAAAAAAACACCTCCATTTGCCAAAATTCTTTCTCCTGTGGGCAACTCAGAAAAGGAACTTACTGTGTTTCTCATTACTTTGGGGGCAGCTCTCTTTGTTGCTCTGTTGTTTTGAAAGTTATTGTTGTCTTGCACGGCCATCGCTGGCAGGGAAATACCCTCTAGTGGCCAGTTCTGATATTTCACTTTGGGAATATAAAACTGAAGACAAAAGAATTACTCACTTGCCAGACTAGATTTTTTTAAGAGGATGACATAAAACCTGGAAAAGGCCTCCCAAAATGCCTTTAAGGGTCTTGAAAAGTAACTTTTGAAGGTAAGCAGATGTTACTCATTATATCTGCATAACTCAGGTGTTAGTGGTTACGCTAAAACTCACTCTTCCACTATTACATGACTTGTTACTGCTGCATAACTATTTACAGGTAACTACATTGCTTATCAGTTGTTGATCCTATCTCTGCTCCTGTGTTACTGTTAATGACATAGGAATGCTGTGGTTTGAGTGAAATTTGATGCCTTAGTGTTCTTAAAAGGAGGAGGCCATGTGATGGAGATGTTGTGTTTTACATATGCTGTCCCTTCCCCCTTGAAATTCTTGCTTTTTAACACACACAAAAGACAGTATTGGGAAGAAAAAGATATTGAGAAATGAACGAGTAATGTTGTGTCTTCTTGCTTTATAGTAAAATATATGCTATGTTCAGTGGAATTGGGTGGGGGATTTCTCTCTCTCTTTCACCGTTTGGGGCTGCATAGCATTAGATTCTGAGTCAGCAAAAGAGAGCCCTCCTTCACACATTTATCGCAGCATTTATTGTCAACCAAGTGTGGTGATTGCAATAGGCTTAATAGCCTCTAGGGAATTTAACAACTCTATGATTTAGGTGTTTCCCAGGACTCTCAGCCAAAGTCTAGAGAAGCTGTGGAATTTTGAATACGTGTACGGGTAGTTCCTGTTTGCGTGATATTTATGATTTGCCTTTCAGTTTTTAAGTAAACTCTTGTTTTAGGAGAAGAAGTGGGAAAGGTCTTGTGCCTTCTTGCCAGAGCTTGTCAGAGTTGCTTATTTGAACTACAAATCCCACAATCCACCAACCCTTACAGTCAATGGCTGCACTGGCTGGAAGATTCTGGGACTTGGGATGAAGGAGCTCGTCACAAGTCCTAGAATCTTCCAGCCAGCATGTAGGGGGTGGGGGGAGAACGAAAAACTCTTCCAAAATCGGTTTCATGCCCTTCTATGGGCTTCCTGGAAGCATTCAGTTAATCGCTGCTGAAAGCAAAATTCTGGGCGAGATGGTGTGGTCCAGCGGGGCAATTATTATTTCCGTACATTAGTTGTCCTTAAGATAATACGGGAGTAAAACTGCTGTCTTTCTGCAGGTGTTGCGACTGCTTAAGATGTTGTGGAAGGAGAGATCCAAGGCCTCGAACTGTTTGGCTCGGCCATCCAGAAAAAAGAGAACAGAGGTACCCTCGGAATGTGATCAACAACCAGAAATACAACTTCTTCACTTTTTTACCAGGGGTATGTATGCTCTGGAGAACAGGGTTTGAACCCCCACTTGGCCGTGGAAACTCTCTGCGGGTTGTAGGACTGACAAAATCATTCCTATCAGACATACATCCAGAAAAAAGAGAACAGAGGTACCCTCGGAATGTGATCAACAACCAGAAATACAACTTCTTCACTTTTTTACCAGGGGTATGTATGCTCTGGAGAACAGGGTTCCCCCACTTGGCCATGGAAACTCTCTGGGGGTTGTAGGACTGACAAAATCACTCCTTAAATATCAGACATACCTTGAAAGCCCTATTAGGGTAGCTCTAAGTCGGCTCTGACCTGATGGCGCATAACTATGGGCCTATCCAGATGGAGGAATTTGGAGCAGTGAGATTTGAACTTAAAAGGTTCTCCTCTTCAGTGTACTCTGTTTTATCCTTCACTTAAGTGATCCTTCCATTCACACTGGAGATATTTATTCTCCCATGAGAAGGGTCCATACAGGTCTACAGATGACACTGGTTTACTCCTGAGCAGATTTACTTGCATGCAAATTTAATTCACTTGCATGTAAGTTTACCCAGTTTACTCATAAGTAAGGAGGCAGAAACAGCAGCAGCTTGAGGGGAAAATGTTGGATTGAAGGTTGGGACGGTGAAAGGAAAGTAAGCCCCTCTTTTCTCCATCTTTCTCCTCAGGCAGGGCCCTGCTGGGGCTATAAGTTTACTCATAAGTAAGGAGGCAGCAACAGCAGCAGCTTGAGGGGACAATGTTGGTTTGAAGGTTGGGACGGTGAAAGGGAAGTAAGCCCCTCTTTTCTCCATCCTTCTCCTCAGGCAGGACCCTGCTGGGGCTGCACTGCCTTGCGGGGGCAGAGCCCATAGAGTACACTTCCCTCTTTCCCCATAGATGTCATTCAGTGGGCCAAAATGAATTTCCTTTTTAAAATATAAAATAAAATAAATGGCATATCAAAAGAACAATGCACCCACCTAGTCAAACAGTAGGTGGTGAGGTGCACCTTGTTCTAGAGGAATAGTGTGCTTCCTGGAGGCTTCTGGAAGTTCAGTGATGTGTGATCCCTCTTCAGAGCTGTGGAGCAGCAGGCTGCCTTGTGGGGGCAGAGCCCATAGAGTCCACTAGCCTCTTTCCCCATAGCTGTCATTCAGTGGGCCAAAATGAATTTACTTTTTAAAATATAAAATAACTGGCATATCAAAAGAACAATGCATCCACCTAGTAAAACAGTAGGTGGTGAGGTGCACCCTTGTTCTAGAGGAGTAGTGTGCTTCCTGGAGGCTTCTGTAAGTTCAATGATGTGTAGTCCCTCTTCAGAACTGTGGAGCAGCAGCATTTGGCCCCATAGCTGGAAGTGGGGCGGGGGGGGCAGCAACAGCTTGTGTATCACACAGTTTCCATCTCTGATTTATAAGACACTGGGATCAAGCTTGTCCACAGGCAGTCTAACTAACTTTTCCCCCTCGCTAAACACTACAAAAATGCCTTTGTGTTAAGAAGCACTTTTTTTTAATTTTACTTTTTTAAAATAATCAACATTTGCTCTTTCTGCAGGAAAAAGTAATTTACCATTTAGGCTTAAGTGGGATGCCACTTAAGTAAGGGATTTCTCCCCATTTAGAAATAAAAACTACAGTATTATTTTATGAGAAGTTATTTTATCTTTTTTAGAAGCCTTCAAAAGCTTTCTGCCATCAGCCATGTTAACTTAGATGAAAACCTCACCAGTATTTCATTGTCTCTCTTTTTACAGGTACTGTTTAACCAGTTCAAGTATTTCTTCAACCTCTATTTCTTATTTCTGGCCTGTTCCCAATTTGTTCCTGAAATGAGGCTTGGTGCACTTTACACATATTGGGTTCCACTGGTAGGTTTATTTATTCAAGAAAAGTTCCACTGTTTAAATAGAGGATGTATTTTGTTAATGTAATCTCCAAGATCCACGTAATGCTCTCAAAATGGTTTTTGTTAGCTTATTTTTATGAGGGCAGCTCATTATGTGTTTGGGAATTTAAGATGGTTGCTCTGACTTGGAAAACTGATTTAATAAAAGTTTGGCATTTGCACACGAAACCTTGACCAGCACAGAAGGATGAGAATGCATGGAGGATATTTGATCCGAAGTGTAATTTATTCCATAATTTAGCCATTCTAAGAATACAGCTAAGGAAAATCCCCTTGGGCCGAAACTCCAGGAGAAATGGACATTATAGGAACATTTAAGCAATTATTCCTGTTAGAACAATGAACTGTACATTATGCCAGTGTTAGTCAGTGGCTAAATTTCTTCCATGCTAGAGATTTTGGTTCAGTTTTCTCCCATGTTGTCTGCTATGACCCAGTGCCTAGCCAACATGACCCTGATTGGGGATGATGGTAGCTACAGTCCAACGCATCTGGAGTGAACCAATTTAGATAAAGCTATTTCAAAGACTCAAATCTGATGCAATTGGATCTCTTGATGTTTATGGAAGACATCTTAGCTGTATAGATTTGGAGATTGTTTTTTTAATCAGCAATTTCAGAGACCTTTTTCTGTATTTCTCCCCTACTTGGTATATTTTGTCAGCAACTGAGATCTGTGGCTGTGAGGACTGTGTTGTTGTCATTTTTTAAATTCTCATATATATGTACAAATTACTAAATTGTTCTGGATCAGACAAAACTGGTGTTTTTTTCGATCATTAGTTTGCCTGTTGATTCCTGCTTGAGTATGCATTCCTATTCTGGTTCACAACTAATCTTTGAAACCATGAGTGCCAGAAACATATAGTTAATTTACTGGGGAAACCATTAGGATTCTTTATCTTGCAGCAAATGCAGGAAATAAATTTTTCTGTGGCAGCTGACTAGTTCTGGATGCATTGAGTAAAGTTAATTTTCCTCTGATGCATTTAACTGTCTCTTGTTAAGATGAAAAAGAAGGCAGGGTTCTTGTGTCCTTAATGGTTGTTTGGAAGGAGATCTTTCAACAGGCGTATCTTGCATTAAAAGTTGTACCTGCTGATATTTCCTCTTCTAAACAACCATTAAGGATACAGAAATTCTGTACACTAATTCATCTGGCTAACTTATATCTCACTTTCTGAAGTGTTGTGTAATATGTGAGACACTTATCAATTCACCATTAATGTGTTTTCAGGGTCAGGGCCAGCATTATGAAAAATCCATTGCCAGTGCTGTCGTAGTCCAGTCCAGCAGTAGTTTGGGCACAGTCTTTGAACCTGGCAGAAGAGATACTTAGTCCAAGGCCCATTCATAACCGGCATGGCCTGACTAGTCTAAACCTGAGGTCCTTTTGCTCATGATAATATTGACATTGTTCTGATGTCAACACAAATAGCCTGATTTCTTCCAGGTTTTCCATAATCCTGCAAGTAGCATGCCAAGCAAGAGCTTCTGGAAAGAAAGCATGCAAGGCTTCAGAGTGGGGGCCTTTCCCCTTGAGGCTTACAACTGCACATAACCAGAACAATAACAACGTTTTGAGAAGAGTGCAGGCTCGGAGGCCCAGAAATATAAAAGACCCCAGTTGCCGTCTAGATCTTGTATGAGCAGATGTTCATTTAGACCAATCTTTAATTTTTACTGCTGCTTCAGAGCACAATGATAGAAATTAGAAATAAGCATGAACCACAGTTCTGCATAGTTTGGTTGCACAGCTGTTTTGTGAGTGCCTCTGCTTCCCTTCCCGTGCCGCCTCTTGCAGGAGCCCACTCCGAGGCAGTGGCATGGCTTCCTAGCCCTGTCTCCTCCGGGCGCTGCCTCTTGAGTAGGCACCCGCTAGAGGAGGTGGGGCAAGGAAGCTGGGATGTTTTTGGAACAGCTGTGCAACCAAACTGTGGTCCGTGCTCATCTCTAATAGCAACACAACTACCCCTATAACATAAATGCTTCTTGTCTTAAAGAAATGTATGTACAATTTCTTTTACTTTATCCAAATGCTAAACTTTATGCAGTGTCGCATTTGCTAGTCATCAGATATAAGCACAGCTGCACCAGGTACTGTGGCCTCATTACCGTCTGACTCATTCATTAGCTTCAGCAAGCCTTGATCACCTGCTCTCCAGCATACCTTCACAGTCATGAGGGACAGAAACTTGTCTCCTTTTAGTACAAAAGTTGTGATTAGAATTGCATGGCCCGGTGTTATGCACCAAGCCGACATTTAGCTACATTTATGGTTGCCCTATGGCATTCATCCTGGCAAGGAATAAAAAGAGTGTCCCTGACTGTTTCCAGTTTTTTTTTCAAGGCTTGCTTTAAATCTGTAACCATTGTGATTGTCTACAACATCACTTGAACCATTAGTATTCAGCCTGTGAGCTGTCAGAGTTCTACATAAAAGGCTTTTTGTTCCTTGCAACCTGTTAATACAACCATGTGGGCATAGAGTGACAACTTAAGTTGAGGTAGATCAATGAGGCAGAACATGGGGAAATGTTTCTGGAATGATTGTTTGAAATTCTGATGAAAAAATAGAGTAAGATCATTATTTGTGTCCGTGTGAGTTATGTATAGTGAGAACTAGATAGAGTTTGAATAATAATGAGTAACAATAGTAGTTATTGTTCAATATTAGAATGGTTCAAATGGTACCCAATATAGGAAAATAAAGGGAGGGCCTGCGTTTAACAATTTGCTATACTCTCTCTCTCTCTCTCTCTCTCTCTCTCTCTCTCTCTCTCTGTGTGTATGTATGTATGTATGTATGTATGTATGTATGTATGTATGTATGTATGTATGTATGTATGTATGTATGTATGTATGTATGTATGTATGTATGTATGTATGTATGTATTGATAGGACCCCTCTCACAATGAGGGGACTCAAGGCAGCTCACAGTGTTAAAAATAGAATTAAAAACACAATCAATTATACATTAAAATAATTCAACTACAATAGTAATCAAGATACATTGAATGATTAAAGAAATGTAAAACTTTGAAAACAACATACTCAACTGAAAAACAGCATTCAGGGACTAAGTTATGATTATTAAAAAACTGCCTGAAGACTTTTCTTCAGAAGTATGTTCCAGTTGGGTTTGCTTTGGTTTACTCTTAGGCAAGGTTGTGTAAGACTGCATCCTTAAACTGCCAGAGATTTCTGTTTGTGGAACAGAAGACTTTTCATTTAACTAGATAATATCTTGGTGCCCTCAAATGAGAAATAATGACCCCAAATCCCTCTAGATTTGCTTTTTATGCTAATGGCTTCCAAACCTGTCTAGTTGGAATGTATCTCTGGGAGTATGTGCATCTCTTTGTAAAGCCATACCAGGCCTCGAGGGCATGTAATATAATTCTGAATTAATCTTCCCAGATGTTATGCAAGAGAGTGAAAGATGCCTTGAAATTAGTAGGACAGATAGATTTCCTTTCTGAGGCTTAATTGGATTTAAGTAACAATCATTTTCCACTCCATGATATAGGTAGGAAGAAGAATTATGAGGCATGACGCAGCTTGTGTTTGCCCTAAGAATGTTCCCTTGCAATGGTGGTGCTGATTTTTAGATATATTAAAATATTTTGTAGGGCATGCATATATCCACATGTATGTATGTAAGGAGAATATGCTCTATAATTTAGTACTCTCGCTGTCTTGTGCAGAAGTTGATGATGTAACTGGAATAGGGCTGTGGTCCTACTTTCACTTCCTTGGGTGTAAGGTCCATTGGATTCAGTGGGACTGCTAAGTAGGCATAGGTTTACACTGTAGATTGTAGATTGCATGTGTTGTCCCATACATTGTAGCACTGTGTGCATGCAGACGTGGGTAGGAAGAGATATACAAGTCTGTTCAGCGTATTCTCAAACAAGTTAAAGTCAGTTAAAATCAGTTGGGAATAACAAAAGATTGAAAGGAGATTTGTGCTCAGACAAAACTTCTGAGGAACTCTGAGAGGGAGGAATTGAGAAGGAGAGAGAGAGAGGTTTGGTAGACAAGGAATGAATATATTTATTTATTTATTTATTTATTCGATTTTTATCCCGCCCCTCTAGATAATGTCTACTCGAGGCGGCTATATATCCTTACAAAATATGGTACCAACATTTGTTTGTTGTTGGGGAGTTACAATTCTGTTTCCTTTGCTGTGCTCAAGAAGCACACACAACTTCCCTCCTGGCCACTTTATCTTCTTCACCACCCTGTGAGGTATGTTGGGCCAAACAGCGACTGTGAGTTATGTCCGTGACTGGCTTGGGTTTACCCACAGTGGGTGTCATGGCCTGGTAGGGCCTCAAACCTACAACAGCACCCAGATCCCAGTCTAATGCCCACTAAAGATCACTATTATTAAAATATTTTTAATTGCTGAGAGATTGATCCACTTGGACTCTGGCATGAATCGTTTGTGTATCTAGTAGTTGGGTTTGGGTTTTATTTAGCACCCCTTTTACATTTCACAATGAACTCCACAAATTAATTTAGATCAAACTCCACAAATTAATTTAGATCAAGATGAAAAGAAGAGAAGCATGTCCCAAAGAAGTGCTCAAACATGTTGGCTTTGGCAGCAGGGGACAACTATATCCCCCCCCCCCAGCTTCTGATTGCAAAGCTTTCTGGGGGATGTGAAAGCCAGCTTCCTGTTTTAAGTCCTCTGAGTTAGTCCTCATGACAATACCAGCAACAAAACAGCACAGGTAGCTGGAAAAAAAGCAGTTCCCAAAATCTGCAGCAGGGCAGTGTTTTCAGGGCCAACTGTAATGCTACAATTTTTAACTGTACTGAAGAAGCGTTCTGGTAGCTCTGAAAAGCTTGCACAGTATTGTAGAATTGTTGTCAGTTCTAATAGTGGAGATATGCTGATACGTGTATGGAATATGTATATGGAAATGCAATATATATGAATGAGGCAATTGTACATATAGAATCATAGAATCATAGAAAAGTTGGAAGGGGCCTACAAGGCCATCAAGTCCAACCCTCTACTCAATGCAGCAATATACTCAAAGCATATCTGCCAGGTGATTATCTGAGTTTTTCTTGAATGCCTCCAGTGTTGGAGCACTCACCAACTCCTGAGATAACTGGTTCCACTTTCGTGCTACTCTAACAGTTAGGAAGTTTTTCCTAATACTCAGCTGAACTCTGGTTTCCTTTAACTTGAACCCATTGTTGCGTGTCCTACACTCTGGGACGATGGAAAGCAGAGTTTGCCTCTCCTCTGTACAGCCTTTCATATATCTGAAAAGTGCTATCATATCACCCCTCAGTCTTCTTTTCTCAAGGCCAAACATGTCTAATTATTTCAGCCTTTCTTCATAAGGTTTCCATCCCTCTAATAATCCTTGTCACCATCCTCTGAACCTGTTCCAATTTGTTAGCATCATTCTTGAAGTTTGGTGTTCAGAACTAGACACAGTACTCAAGGTGAGGCCTAACCAGTGCTGAATAGAGGGGGACTAGCACCTCACGGGATTTGGAAACTATACTTCTAATAATGCAGCCTAAAATAGCATTAATAGAAGTATAGCGTAAATATAGTAGCAATAATAAATAAACGTCTGCAATAACTTACAGATTTTATTCGTTGTTGTTATTATATCTGAAAATTATATTGGTTACCGTTATGAACATAGTAACATTAAACGTTTCTATTAAATTTTTTACATCAAGAACAACTTTTTTGGTACTTATATTTTGTTTGAAATATTTGCTTATTGCATTTTGGTGTTCATTTTAAATTATCAGCTTAAGATTCAGGGGGTTGAAATTGGTGGTCAAGGAGATGGGGGCATGAAGATTTCTTGAAAATCAAATGGTACCAGAAAGTTTGAGAATCAATGTGTTGGAGAAAGGGCAAGACAAAAAGCGTTCTTGTAACTAAAAAAAGTATATATTTTATTTACAAGGGCTAGAAATGTGGTCTTTTCTTTTTCTTTTTTCTTTTCTTTTCTTTTCTTTTCTTTTCTTTTCTTTTCTTTTCTTTTCTTTTCTTTTCTTTTCTTTTCTTTTCTTTTCTTTTCTTTTCTTTTCTTTTCTTTTCTTTTCTTTTCTTTTCTTTTCTTTTCTTTTCTTTTCTTTTCTTTTCTTTTCTTTTCTTTTCTTTTCTTTTCTTTTCTTTTCTTTTCTTTTCTTTTCTTTTCTTTTCTTTTCTTTTCTTTTCTTTTCTTTTCTTTTCTTTTCTTTTCTTTTCTTTTCTTTTCTTTTCTTTTCTTTTCTTTTCTTTTCTTTTCTTTTCTTTTCTTTTCTTTTCTTTTCTTTTCTTTTCTTTTCTTTTCTTTTCTTTTCTTTTCTTTTCTTTTCTTTTCTTTTCTTTTCTTTTCTTTTCTTTTCTTTTCTTTTCTTTTCTTTTCTTTTCTTTTCTTTTCTTTTCTTTTCTTTTCTTTTCTTTTCTTTTCTTTTCTTTTCTTTTCTTTTCTTTTCTTTTCTTTTCTTTTCTTTTCTTTTCTTTTCTTTTCTTTTCTTTTCTTTTCTTTTCTTTTCTTTTCTTTTCTTTTCTTTTCTTTTCTTTTCTTTTCTTTTCTTTTCTTTTCTTTTCTTTTCTTTTCTTTTCTTTTCTTTTCTTTTCTTTTCTTTTCTTTTCTTTTCTTTTCTTTTCTTTTCTTTTCTTTTCTTTTCTTTTCTTTTCTTTTCTTTTCTTTTCTTTTCTTTTCTTTTCTTTTCTTTTCTTTTCTTTTCTTTTCTTTTCTTTTCTTTTCTTTTCTTTTCTTTTCTTTTCTTTTCTTTTCTTTTCTTTTCTTTCTTTCTTTACTTACTTACTTACTTACTTACTTACTTACTTACTTACTTACTTACTTACTTACTTACATCCTGCCTATCTGGTCAATACGACCACTCTAGATAAAAAGTTTAAAGATT